GTAGGCTTTCCGGGAGAGTGTGCAGTGTGACCGTAGGCTTTCCGGGAGAGTGTGCAGTGTGACCGTAGGCTTTCCGGGAGAGTGTGCAGTGTGACCGTAGGCTTTCCGGGAGAGTGTGCAGGATCTCCATGTACTCTACTGGATGCCTGGGTCTGGAAAATGGGTGTCTGTCCATTTCTACCAGGAGCATCCCAGAGGGCTGCCATTAGCAGACCCTATAAGGCAGGTCTGTCTAATCGCTGTAGGAGAGGTGTGTTTGAAAAAGGGGCGGGGCCAAGACTTCAGTCTTTTCTTTTATTATTTGTCCACAATACAAATTCATATTAGACACATATGGAGCAGAACAGACTGCCGCTAATCACATAATATTGAGCTCAACATGCATACAATGGGTAAACATTGTTTCCATCAATTGCAAATAGCAACTTTTAAGTCTTTTTGTCATTCCTATATCATAGTTTGGCTCGCCAGCACAGAATCATGGCACTGATGGTATGTCGGACTATGTTTACATATATGTGTGTGTGTGCGTGTTTGTGTGTTTAGTTTCGTATGACCAGCCCTCGTCGGTCTCATATTTACAACATACAGGCATGCAATTGTACCACAGCACTAGAAAAAGACATAAACGACATACGTTAAATTTGACTCAACGTGACAGTCAAACGCAACCCTACAGCAACTGGGGAACAACTCTCCTTAAATGCATCTCAATTAGCTTGCCTTTACTGGGAGCATGAAAGCAAGACGGAAAGCAGGATTTATATACTTGCATATACTGGTATACATAAATACGCTTATATATATATATATGCATTTGAGTTATAAACAACAGACAGGATTTGCCATTTCATTTTAATTACTGGAGTTTGCAGGGAGTCCTGCCTGAAAGCAACACCTGCATTTCGTTAAAAAACCATGTGAAAGATGGCAGTGAATGGAAGCAGCCGGTCGACTGGCCAGCCTAGATGGAACCCCCCCCCCACACACACACAGCAAAAGACTGATATAGTCTTCTAGCTGTCTATAAACAATAACAATAAGAGCATTAATCACACAAGGTAAGTTGTCGAATTTTTCATTTCTATCCTTGGAAAAAAACAAAACAAATTGCCTGAACGAGCTTCTCTACGTTGATGGTCTTTGCGCTCCTTTCTAACGGATCTCAGAATGAATCCTGTGAGATTGCCATTGAAAACTAAAAACAGTTCTACTTGGTCGTTTCATGAGTAGGAATTGTTGATGCTGAGGCCTGACCACAGCGAGAGCCTGGAGGTACACAGCAGTGTCCACTCGATTCTCCGCTTTCTGCACCAGGGTAGCCTGACTTGCTCTCCTTATCACACAACTACACAATTGTTTCTACTGTTTTTCTATCTGAACCATTTGACTTTCCTTTTATTCCTGGAAGGACATTCCCTGGCCAATCAGCAGTTTGGTTGGAAAAGTTCCCCCAAACCAACGATTCTGATTGAAACAATCCTCTTTCGGATCATAGCATCATCATCATTATGTATCATGTAGTTTAACATAGATACAAACATGGAAATAAATCTGCTGAATCTTTATAAACACCTAGCTTATGTTCTGTTTTGCTGTGATTAAGTGGTCTTGAAATGCTACAACACCTCTTTCATATTGTAGTGGAAACAAACAGTACCCTGATTTTCGGTCATCGGTCTCCTGGAAAACCTGAATGTCCTCTTTAACAGTGCTAAAGTTGAGGTAATGTAACTCTGCCCCCACCAGTCCTCAGCAGCAATCAGGTCCCGCCTTCATTGGACACGACCCTTGGAGCTCCCACCCTCCCTCCAGGGCCGGTCCTTGATTGGTAGACAAGATCCAAACAGCTGGTGGGACAGAGCAGTGATGTCCTGGCTTATTCGTTAAGACTGACTGTAGTGGTCCTGTGTGTTTCCTGTGATTGGGTAAAAATTAAATAAATAAAACGCCTCCACTGGTGGAGGCCATTTGTACAGCAGCTCAGAGGAGGCGTAGTATTCTGTTTATTAATCAAGGGTCTCATTAGCTTGTTTCTCGTTTGCCGTGATTTCCCTTAGCATCCGTTACCAGGGCCAGTCCACTGGGTGTACTACCCTGCTCTGTTTGCTCGGTGTCTCAGGTGAAGTATTTGCAGTTTGTCGAGTCGATCGAACAGTGCGCCGTGCACTTGAGCTGCCCAAAGGACCTAAGACACAACACAGGGCGACCAGTCACGCAAGAATCCGAAAGCTCATGGGAGTTTCACTTACACAAAAACGTAACTCTGGTCCCAAGCAACCAGAGGAGGTGACACTAACAAACCAGATGTCTTGGTCTCACCTCCTCTAGTTGCTTGGGCCCACCTCCTCTACAATCTGATTGGTTATTTCTCTCTGAACCAATCATTTTTCATTCTGCCCTTAGAACATTGGTGAAGTAAAACTCCCATGAGTAATCCGAAATGCAGACACTCTAGTAGAAGAGAAAGGGGAAAAACAAACCCAGGCAGGTATGACTGGCATGTCTGGTAGCCGAAGTCCTTCCCGTCACACTCCTCAACCCCCTCGTGGCGATAGCCGTCGCCGCAATAGGCCTTTTTGCACCCTGTCGGGGTGAGGAGGTATAGAGAGGGGAGGGGGGAGAGGAAAAGTGAGAAGATGGATTGGAGACAGCTGTGGAAGGAGCCATGATTGATTATGTGTCATCTCCTCTGTCAAGCCCCCCCCGGTGCAGAGGTCCCCTGCAGGCCCTGTGATATCATATTGAATCATGTGACTCACGGACGCAGCTGTCGGTGACGACCTTGTTGCCGTCGTCACAGTCCTCTCCGTTCCGGGGCTGCACCATGCCGTCACCACACGCGCCGACCGGGTCGGGCTCCTTCTCAGTGGACTGGAATGGCGTTAGCTGGAATGATAGAGGCTTTTGCAGGGGTTAAACACCTTTTTAAGAGACCCAAGAAGACGTTAAGTCCGGCAGCCTTCGCTGCTGTAAGAGGTACCATCTGCAATAAACTGATGGGATAAAAAACACATGAAAAAGGAAAAAACAGCTTGAAGTACCTGTATTGGCTGCCATCCATTGACATCTTTGAAATAAAGAGATCTCTGATCTTTCCGGAATGCGAGAGCGTTGTCAGTCTGCAGACGGTCCAGTTCATCCTTGCTGTTAACGACAAATATCTAAGGAAAAAAAATGCACCCAATCACAAAAACATGAAATGCTAAATTTCCCTGAAATGTTCTCTGAAATCAGGTTGCGAGGCACCGTCTTAGACGACGGGCAGAGACTTACCGCTGGCACTTGGACGTAATTGTGTTGTGGTGCATAATCCTCATATGGGGGGCTGTTGATGTTCAGTGGTGTTTTGCAGTCACACTGACCAGGTACCCCAGGGTTTCCCTTTTCTCCTTTCTCCCCCACCAGGAAGTGTCCTTGGAGAGCACAGACACACCTTTTGTATAAGTAGGAGGTGAATGACAACAGTCTCCTATGCCGTTCTAAGAATTAGAAGCCACTCAAGATTCATGTATCTACTGTGTCTTCTTGGATTGGCTAAAATCAATCAGCTTATCATGAATACCATTCCATTCAAAGGGAACACCCTAATCAAAGTCTCCTCTTGATGGCAGGAAGTGTTGACATCATCATTGTAAACTAGGGTGACCACCTAATCCATGTCAGGATGGACACTATGAGCTACTTCAGCTTTTACGAACTACTTTAAAGCTGAAATGGTTTTGTGCTCTGCTAAAATGTTTGGTTAGTTCCTAGATTGAAAGACTCATCCAGCTGTTTCGCATTAACATTACTGACACATATGCATGATTATAGGAGAC